AGAAAATATACCAGTTTAAGTTAAATAAATAAACAAACAAAAAGGTAAAGTATCAAAAACATAAAATAAGAATCTAGAAAGATATAGAAGAGGCAGAAAAAGTGACTGCTTAGGGTATACAGCAGCGTATTTATTAAACGAATACATAAGTATGTAGTATGAGGTGGGCATGTATTAGAGTAGTGCAACTGTGAGTATAGTAGTACAAACGAGTATAATTATGACAAGTGTATGTACTGTATAAGTAAATAACCAAAAGATACAGTGTTTTACTGTGGCCTGAAAAAAAGTTTAAAAACTCCAGAGAGAGTTTCATAAGTTTCAAACAATGAGCCGAGTGAGTTCAGGCTGTAAGCCAGTGAGTACCCTCAACAGGCTAAGATATTTTTGTATAAATAAAATTCTCTCATTAGAAGTTATGTACATGAAACAATAATTTTCAGTGGCCAATGTTATTTCATTATTCATCCTTTGAGGGGAATAGAAATATGATTTATGCTGTTCTGTCATCTATTAATACATCAATTTTTTTCATTGCAATATATACAGTACAAAGTATATATTGTATCTGCGGTAGGTTTTGGAACGTATCACTCATGAATACAGGGAAATTACTGTACAGATCAGAAGGAAAAGGTATGAATATTTTATGTCATCATTATAGTGACCAAGGGTGCGTTTCTCAAAACCTTCCTAACACTGTCTTTCATAAGTTCTACCTTAAGTTGTCCCTTAACACTCCGACGTCTTTCCCGAAACTTTCTTAATTAACCACTGCACCACCATACCACCTCTCTGCTATACCAATACAAACAAATTTTTTACCATTGTCCTTTTTCATAATAAAACATGTCTGTTCCAAACCTATTGCTGAGAGATGGACATAATGGGCACCTCTTCAGAGATTCATCCACCAGAATCATGTAACTTACGGATGTTTCTGCGCAGTAGGGGTCCTTTGATTGGCTGCTTATTCTCTGTGTTGACGGCAATGAAAGCCGTGTAGGAGGAGCTGACTCCTGATTGGATGCTCAGCTCCACTGCTCTCTCTTTCCCAGTCTTATCGCCCGCCTCTCCACGTTCCCCCTCCAAGGTCAAAATGGCTTTGCGGGCCCCCAGTCTGTGGATCAGCATGCTAAGGGGCCAACAGACAAACAGACAAATGGACAGACATAATTAAACCAGCTGAAAATGACCAGCATCTCCTAATGATCTGAGTGTGTCTGTGTGCATCTTACCTGCTGTCCTCCTTCGGCTTCATGTTAAGGGTAAGTGTGTTTTCCACAGCCTTCTTATGCAGAGTGTAATGGAGACTCACGGAACCTGAAATATTACTGGAACTCTGGGGAGACAAAGTGGTGAAAGGAGGGAGGAAAGTGATATCAGGTGACAAGAAATTCTAATTTATATTTAAAAAATTATGTAAAATGCACTTTTCAAGAATAAGAAAAATATATCACAACTTGAATTTTAATTTAAATAAATAATATTTCCAAAAGTACCAAAGACTGAATATTTATATGAAACCCCCTGTAAATACACAAATATTAGACTCAGGGTTATTAGATGGATATGAAATCTTCAAAACTTCAATAAGCCAGGAGGTGAATAGGAGATTCCGGAATCAGGCTGCATGCCTGAAAGTAAGTTAAGGTTCCAAACCTGTCCTGCGAGCTGGAAGTACAGTATTGCCCTCTGATTCTGGAAGATCACATTGGGAAGAGGAGACAGGGGGGTGACAGATATATCTGCTGGAATGTTCCATTTCACTGAAATGTCCTCTACAACAGGCTGCAGGGCAAACTGAAGAGACTGCATAACCTGAGGAGTAG